CCAAGTGTAAGGCTATTCACATCCCATTGTGAGTTAATTTCTTTAAAACGGTTCTCATTACTCTTTAAATCGATTGATTTTGTATCACATTTGCCTGTTATTCTCCCACTACATGAACTATCAGTCTTAAGAAGAAGCCAACCTAATATCGCCACCCTCAAGCTGATGCGAAACGATACTGAATATTATATATTTTATATTTACTAAGACACACATTGAAAGCCAGTTTGGATTCCGGACAGAGCGTCAAACTTTAGACATGGTGTTCGTCGAGAGGTAGCTACAAGAATAATATCATGAACAGCAATGTGATTTGTTTACGGTTTTTATTGACCTGGCAAAAGCGTTCAATTCAGTCACCGGAGAGGGTCTATGGATGATCATCATCATTGTGCAGCAAATGCATGATAGAATGCACGAATGCAAGATAATGGATAATTATATGAACTGGTCCATGCACACAAACAGTGGGAAACAAGAGTGTGTACTGACAACTATTCTATTCAATATTAGGTTCTCAGTTTTTCTGTTTCAAGCTTTTCGTAAGGGAAAAACAGGAGTTGATTTCAGCAACGGCATCAATGGAAAACTGTAGATGCTGAAAGCGAAAACCAATGTTAAATCATGCATTACTAGGGATCTTCTGTTCACTGTCAGCTGCGCTCTTAATGATGGTTCGGAAGCGGATCTCTAGTATATCATAGACAGATTCTCCTAGGCTTGTGTCAAGTTTCGATTAGCATCAACTCGAAGAAAAAAACACCGAAATCATGTACCAGCCGTCAGCAGGCAAAATGTATACTGTACCGACCATTTTGGTAAATGGCAGAACATTTGGGAATGTGAATTGATTCACGTCCCCCGTCAGTACACTGTCTAAAAATGTCACTAGCAAAGATGAGGTAACCACCAGGATCCCAAAACAAGCTGCACATTTGGAAGACTATACACCAATGTCTGCACCGAAGTGGTATCAGTCAGCAAACCAGACTGGAGGTATTCATCAGTCTGCAAACTAAACTAAAGGTACGCAGAGCTGCAGTGGTTCCAGTGCTTTTGTGTGCTTATGAAACATAGGCAAAAAAAGCAAAACCATTCCACACAATCTAAGAAAATACTGAACATCAAGTAGCAAGACAAGGCCTTGGATACTGTTGTACTGGATAGCGCTGGCATTCCCAGTATCGATACCATTGTGATGCAGTGACAGATTCGATGCGCAGGTCACGTCATCCGCTTGCCAGACCATCAGCTCTAAAACATAATCGTGTATGGTGAGATACAGGAGGGTACACAATCTCATGATGTACAGGAAAAAAAATTTAAAAAAAAATTCAATGGCACACTAAAGGCACTTGAAGCCTTTAATGCAGACCACACACTTTAGAGGCTGCTGCACAAGACTGGACTATACGACGACCGCCTATCTGAAGAGGGACAGACACCTGCGAGGTTTCAAGAAAAATGACATCTCAACAGCCGAGGCAAGCTAGAAGGACATACAGATCCTGTGCCCTGTCATCACTGTCCTAGATCCTTCCATACCAATATAAATCTTCTGGGTTCACATAACTGTTAAAGTTTCATGACTGAAGAAAGAATAATAACCCCTTCACTTATGATGGACGAAAAGCGCGTGACCTCGCGCGCGTGTGCGCACACTGCACACATATCTTCTTCTTCTTCTTCTGCCTTTCTATCCCCCAATGGAGCATAGGCCCTCAACCAACTCACGCCAAGTCATTCTATCCTTCGCCATTGCATGGAGCTCTCCCCATGTCCTCCCAATCTTTCTAACCTCGTTCTCCAGCTCTCTTCTCCATGTGTTTTTTTGGCCTTCCTTTATTCCTATGCCCTGTGGGTTCCAATGCAAAGACATTCTAGTAATGCTGTTCTCCTGTTTTCTCAGTGTGCCCTATCCAACGCCAGCGTCTTTTCCTCACTTCCTGATCCACTGGAGCCTGTTTAGTTCTCTCCCAAAGTTCTACATTAGTTATTCTATCATACCATTTTATTCAATCTATTTTGCGCAGGCACCAGTTAATGAATGTCTGTTCTCCATGTTTCCGCCCCATACAATAGTACTGATTTGACATTAGAATTAAAAATTTTTAGTTTAGTATTTCTTTTTTTTTCTTTTTACCTCCACAAATTCCCTAGTGCTATGAAAGCCCCTCTTGCCTTTTGTATTCTTATTTTAATATCTCTATCAGTTCCTCCATCTGTATCTACATTACTGCCTAAATAGGTGTACGACGCCACGTCTTGGAGTGGGGTGCCATTAAGAGAAACCACATTACTATTTGCCTGATTTATTCTCATTATCTTTGTCTTTCCTTTATGGATTTTCAGACCAAGCTTCTGTGATCTCGCATTAAGTATATTTAATTTATCTTGCATCTGATTCCGTGAATGGGACAGAAGAGCAATATCATCAGCGAAGTCCAGATCATCAAGCTGTTTTGTAGGGGTCCACTGAATTCCATTCTTGGTGTTAGCAGTTACTGTTTTCATAGTCCAGTCTCTAGCCAGTAAAAATAAGAGAGGCGACAAAAGACATCCCTGTCGCACACCTGTTTTTATTTCAAATGCATCTGTTAGCTTTCCCTCATGAAGAACTCGACATTTCATGTCTTTATATGTTGCCTTTACTAAGTTGATAATTTTCTGTGGGATTTATATAGTGCCCCATCAATTTCCAGAGAGATTCCCTATCTATGCTGTCAAATGCTTTTTCATAGTCTATAAATCCAATGTAAAGTGGTGAGTTCAGTTCAATGCTTTGTTCTATTATAATACGTAATGTGGCTATCTGATCAGTACAGGATCTGTTTGACCGAAAACCTGCCTGCTCATCTCTTAGCATTTTTATCAATAGCATCTTTTAATCTTTCCAAAATAATTCTACTTAATATTTTTCCAGGAACTGACAGCAACATAATTCCTCTATAGTTTTCACACTCCTGTAGATCATCTTTTTTTGGGCAGTGTCACAAGATATCCTTCTCTCCAGTCTGCTGGTATTTCTCCGGTCTCCCAGACTTTACTGAATAATCTATGTAGCAATTCTGTTGATGTGTTTATGTTGGTCCTGATGGCTTCAGCTGGGATACCGTCTGGGCCTGTCGCCTTTCCTTCCTTGAGAAGATTTATAGCATTTTCTTATTTCCTCTTTGGATGGTATCTCACAGTTGATATCCAGTTCCATTTCTGAAGGCTGGATATCTGGGGGAACCTCTGGGCCTGTCGCCTTTCCTTCCTTGAGAAGATTTATAGCTTTTCTTATTTCCTCTTTGGATGGTATCTCACAGTTGATATCCAGTTCCATTTCTGAAGGCTGGATATCTGGGGGAACCTCTGGGCCTGGTCTATTTAGAAGCATTTCAAAATATTCAACCCATCTGTCCATTTGATCTTTAGTGTTAGTAAGTACCTTTCCTTGACTATTTTTGATTGATCCAGTTGGCTGAATATATTTACCTACCAATTTTCTTGTGTTACTGTAAAGTTCTCTGAGGTTTCCTTTTGCTGCTGCTGTCGCTGCTTCTTGTGCTAGATCATTTAGATATTTCACTTTATCTGCCCTTATATGCCTCCTAACTTCCTTGTTGGCTTCTATGTATTTCTCCTGAGCTCTAGCTTTAGCAGCTCTAGTTTTGCTATTGTTTAATTCTGCCTTTTTACTTTTCCTATCTTCAATCAGTTTAATGGTTTCTGGTGTTATCCATGCTTTATGTTTCCT